TGCATATTCTCGTCTCTCCTTGCTTTGCCAGCAAAAAGACAAACCACTCACTGTAAGGCAGGGATCTTAATGTAGTAATACCTAATTGATTTAAGTTTTATTATGGTTTCTTTAAATGTTTCCTCATCTGACAAGGTTGTATTTTTTTTACTATCAGGTCACCTTGATTTAAAAAATAAAAAATAAGAAAAAACCCCCAATAAAATAAACTTTAATAAGCAGTTGAAGACAAAACTTCAACAAAATCAAATCCTTCTTTGATAGAAAATGTAATCCACAAGTGCATTCATTATTAAATCCCTTCTTGTTTAATTTCCTGTTTATTTTCTCTTAAAACAGGAGAAGCCGACGGGAACTTCCTCCATCCTCTGACGTGTCTCCAAGGAGATTCCCTCATGAAGAGGGAGAGAAAGGTGGCCCAGGTTCAGGCGCAGGTTCTCAAAGAATATCTTAGTAAGTGGAACACTTGAAAAAACATGGAAATACAAAAAAATAGTGCAGCATAAACCAAGAGACGATTTAATGAGTAATCCTGTAGAGCAGTTGTACCCAAAATGAGGGGGTTGCAATGTAAGTACAGTGGGGAGGCATGATAGAAATGATTTGAATAAGTGATTCATTTTGAGAGGTATTTTAACAAAACATTGAAATAAACAGTTTAATAACAATAGTTACACTTTAAAAGTGTTTAGCTTTGTGATGTAAACGAAATGATAGTTGTTTAGTTTTTAGCAATACGTAATCTACAAAATTTCTCTTGTGCATTAAAGGGAAGCGCTGCTGTAGAGGATCAGTTTAATCATTGATCAGAGCCCAAAAGTGATGCAGCTTAAGCAAAATAACAGAAACATCTTAACGTTTTTGATCCACATAAACTTATGCTTATCTTTTCATGATCAATTATTAAAAAAAGAACAAAATAAATCTGTACTTATCTTCCAGCACCAAATATTTTTATTTTTAATGTATAAGTTAAAAAAGATATCTATTTAGAAAATATTCTGCTGGAGCCATTTTTAATTCTCTGCTGAGATAATTGTGCTGATCATGTTGATTCTAATCGTGCAAATCAACATGATCAGCACAGTGGTGTCAGTTTGTAAAACCAGCTGGTAGATACTGTAGGGAGAATTTCAGTCAGATTACATAAAAAGCCCCCATTGTTCTGCTTGTATAAAATTGGTATGAATGTTTTATTCATTTTAGCTGGTTGAAGAAAAAATGACAGATGTTGTTTACTGGATGACATTTCTATACAACTATAGAAGATTAAAGCAAACTGAGCTTCATGCCTTGGAAAAAGCATTGGAGCTTTTTAAAAAGGCCATGGGCAGAATGCAAGCCTCTGACAGACTCCCAGATTTAATGAAATTTATCACATTTCTTTCATACACGACATTAAATAGTAAAGTAGCAGAAGTTCTGACATTTGCTTCTGATTTTGATGGCAGCTCTCGATCTTTGATGGGCCTTTTTTGCTCATCGCCGTATTTCTGCTGTGTGTGTTTGGTGAGGGAGGGCTCACGAGAAGAGCTGAAGCCTGTGTGTTTCCAGAGCTTTATTTTCCATTCTCTTAATGTTTTCCCAGCACTTTGTTAACCATTAAATGACAAAAATCCCTCTAACGCCTACTCTATAGATTTTGCAACTCCATAGAGCATAGATAATCTTTATGTTGCAAAAACTATTTCATCTCTACTGTTTTAAAGCAGCCTCCTCTTTAATGTTGTTGTTTAATCCTGCTAATACCATGTTTAGCTGATTCTGTTTTCTTTATAAAAACTATTATTAAAAGAGGTCAATTTCTTCTAGCCTGCTTACTGAGGTCCATCATTACTTATCAGTATTAAAAACAGAGGAAACATCTTACTGTGTGTGAGAGAGGAATCTGTACAATGCAAAAACATACCAGATATAAGTCAACATTTCTTAAATTGTGTTGGTAAATAAGATGATCTG